CATTCCCCAGGTGGCCTCAATGGCTGGGGCTAGGCCAGGCCAAAGCCTGGGAGTCAGGAGCTTCTTCCAGGTTTGTGCAGGGAACCAAGCACATGGACCATCTTCCATTGCTTTCCCAGGTGCAGTAGCAGGGAGCTAGATTGGAAGTGGAACAGCTGGGACACGAACCTGTGCTCATATGGGATGCCCGTGTCACAGGCACTATGCCACAGTTCCAGGCCCCTTATGTAACTCTTATAACTCAATGATAAGAACAGCATTTAACCCAACTTAAAAAGTGGGCATGGGCAGCCATTTGGCGTAGAGGTAGGTGGTAAGATGCCACCTGGAGACTTGCATTCCCTACTGGAGTGTCAGTCTGTGTCCTGGCTCCACTCCAGATTTCAGCTTCCTGCTAATGGATATCCTTGGAGCCAGCAAGTATGGGTCCCTGCCACTCCCATGGGAGATGCAGATTGAGTTTCCAGCTTCTGGTTCAGCCTGTTTAGCTGTGGCTGTTCTGGGCATTTGGATAGCAAATTAGTGGATTAGATATACCACTCTCTCCCTCTCTCTTTCTCTGTTTTCTTCTTTCTCTCTCTTCACCTTTCAAATAAATAAAATAATTTTTTTCTTTTTTTTTTTTCTTTTTTTTTTGACAGGCAGAGTGGACAGTGAGAGAGAGAGAGACAGAGAGAAAGGTCTTCCTTTGCCGTTGGTTCACTCTCCAATGGCCGCCGCGGCCAGCGCGCTGCGGCCAGCGCACCGCGCTGATCTGAAGCCAGGAGCCAGGTACTTCTCCTGGTCTCCCATGGGGTGCAGGGCCCAAGCACCTGGGCCATTCTCCACTGCACTCCTGGCCACAGCAGAGAGCTGGCCTGGAAGAGGGGCAACCGGGACAGAATCTGGCGCCCCGACCGGGACTAGAACCGGTGTGCCGGCGCCGCAAGGCGGAGGATTAGCCTAGTGAGCCGCGGCGCCGGCAGCAATTATTCTTGAGAATTGCAGAGTTTGTTCTCCATCCTGCTTTATCTCTTCCTCCTCATACTTGGTTCTTATTTTGAAATTTTATTTTTGGGGCCAGCGCTGTGGCATAGTAGATTAAGCCTCTGCCTGCAGCACCAGCATCCCATGCGGGCGCCAGTTAGAGTCCCAGCTGCTCTACTTCCAACCCAGCTCCCTGCTGATGCCCCTGGGAAGGCAGTGGAGGACGACCCGAGTGCATGGCCCTGCACCCACATGGGGGACACATTTCTAACAATCACCTGCTGTCTCCCTACTGAGTTAGCAGGAAGCAGGATCAAAATTAAAGTGTCGGGGCCGGCGCTGTGGTGTACCGGGTAAAGCTGCAGCCTGCAGTGCTGGCAGCCCACGTGGGCACCGGTTCAAGTCCTGGCTGCTCCACTTCCTATCCAGCTCTCTGCTATGGCCTGGGACAGCAGTGGAAGATGCCCAAGTCCTTGGGCCTTGCACCCACATGGGAGACCTGGAAGAAGCTCCTGGCTCCGGGCTTTGGATCAGCACAGCTCCGGCCATTGAGGCCAATCAGGGAGTGAACCAGCGGATGGAAGACCTCTCTCTCTCTCTCTCTCTCTCTCTCTCTCTCTCTCTGTGTGTGTGTGTGTATGTAACTCTGACTTTCAAACAAATAAATACATCTTAAAAAAATAAAACAAAGGTTTTATGGCATCAGGTAAATTCCTTAAGAGGTATTTCCTGATGTGTATAATTGTTACCATTTTTTAAAAAGAATTACTTTGGAGGCCAGCATTGTGGTTTAGTGGGTAACGCGCTTTCAGCACCATATAGGATGCCGGCTCGAGTCCCGGCTGCTCTGCTCCTGATCCGGCTTCCTGCTAGCATGCCTGGAAAGCAGCAGAGGGCCCGAGTGCCCGTGTGAGAGACCGAGATGAAGCGCCTGGCTCCTGGCTCTGGCCTGGCCCAGCCCTGGCCATTTAGGAAGTGAACCAGTGGATGGAAGACCTCTCTCTCTCTCTCTCTCTCTCTCTCTCTGTCTCTCCTCTGTAGAGGCAGAGAAAGGTAACTCTGACTTTCAAAATAAATAAATCTCAAAAAATATTTTTTTTTCAAATAAAATTTATCTGAAAGGCAGAAAGAGAGCGCGCGACCTCTGAAACTTGTCAGCCTTGGAGGGGAGGAGGCCAGCTGCCTCCGCACAGGGTCTGCGCCCTCCCCGACTCACTGTCTGGGTCCTCACCCCCTCCGCTGTGGCGTCCTCGGGGGGCGTCCCTGCTGAGCGCTCCTCTTGTTCTCCAACAGCTGTGTGGGGCCCAGGTGGCAGTGGGGTCTTCAGAAGCTGAGGGCATTGCCGATGGGGTGCTGCAGGGCCTTGAAGGAGGTGCTGGGGGGCGGCTCCATTCTCTGAGGTCTTCGGGTCTCACAGTTAACCTAGATGCAGAGCCTGGGACTGGAACAGAGAAAAAGGCACAACCTCCCCCCCACTTAGAGGTCCACCTTAAGGCCTGGGGCCCACTGCCACCTCTGTCATCTAATAGTCCTGGGGGAAGCTGGAAGGGGACCAGGCTGGGTGAGATACTTGAGGCCTGGTACAGCACAGGCTGGGTGCCAGCGACACACCTCGGCTGTGTCCTTGCTGCACTGTGCCCCAGAGGAAGAGGAGACCCTACCTCCCAGGGACCTTGTCGTTGTCCTGCAACCCCACACCCTTCTTCGTGTCTGGGCCCCACCTGGCACCTGTCCCAGGACTCACTCCTGAGATGGCCCGCAGTGAGAGGCAGGTTGGGGGGACCAGCCCCTCTGAGAACCCAGCTGCTCCCGCACGGTGGGAGCGTCCACAGGCGACCTCTCAGGCCCCAGCTGGGGTGGGGAGTGGTCTCCAGGGCCAGACGTCGGCCGGGTAAGGGAAGCTGAGGACAGATCGGTGCAGGCTGGGGGGGGGGGGCGGGCTGCAGAGCCACCTCGGGGTAGCAAGGCAGTCACAGGGTGAAGTCCCTCCTGGAGGTTCCAGTAGATCCACATCGGGTGAAGCAAGCCTGGAGACACAGCTCTCAGGTTGTCTTTGTAAAATGTCCCCCCTTGACTTGAAAACCATCGCATCCGGAGTGTGAGCTCAAGGTAGGCAGAGTCCAGAGGCCGCTGAGCGCAGGTGTGGGCACCTGAGCGCCCACGGCAAACCTCACGCACCCCCCGCTGGGGCCTCACCTCCCCCTGCTGAGAAACACCCAGCCACGTCCCCACGGTCACTGCTGTCCACCTCCCCCAGCCACCCCCCCCCCCCCGAAAAGCCTCTCGGGTTTCTGGTAATCCATCGGGGCTGCTTCATGTTGCTACAGCTGAGATAGCATCTCCCCAGGTAACCCTTCCCTGCCGGAGCCCCTGCTTGGAGGACCCTGTGTGCCCACGGGTGTGGGGGCGCGGGGGTACCCAGGCTCGAGTCCAGACACACCACCTGTGACACTGGGCCAGCTGCTGGACCCTGAGGGGTCTCCCTCCCTCCCACCTCGGGGCCTGGGTTCAGGCAAGGACCCCAGCCCTCTCAGGCCCTGGAGAACAGGTTCACCTTAACTGGGCAGCCCTGGGCGTGGTGCCGGCTGTGCCCTCTGCGCAGACCACGGGCCGGCAGTATGTGCACCCGCCACTCACGCGCCATGAGCCAGGGCACTTTGGAAGCTGGCGGCCCCCTCTGGGGCTGGGATTGGGACGGTGACGATGACTGGGAAGGAGCTGTGCTGGCCCTGCTGGCCCTGGCTGTGGTGGCCGCCACAGCGCTGGCTTTGCACTGGTTTGGCCCCGGGCAGGATCAGCAGGCAGCAAGACCGGAGTCCTCAGCCCCCGGGACCCAGCCTGCCCAGGCGGGAGGAGCCAGGCCGACTCTGCACCCAAAGCCCAAGGTCAGTGGTGGCCACGAGGGACAGAGCCCAGGGCAGGGGAAGCCAGGTCCTCTGGGATGTGGCCATGGGGGCCAGGCTGCGGCAGGAGCCCAGGGCTGCGAACCCTCTGGAGGTGGGGACCTACACCCCAAAGCCAGGCTTCTGCCCAAGACCCCGGGCGAGGCGCTCGGCAGAGGGACCTTGGGACAGCAGCATGGCGGCGCCACCCCAGAAGCCCCCGGAGGTAGAAGAAGGGAGCCCCTGGAGCTAAGCACTGCCCTCTTGGGTGGGAGCCAAGCAGGGGGCGCGCCTGCCCCGGTCGTGATCCACTTCACCCCGCGAAGTCCTGGCAGCGAAGCCGATGTGCAGCCGGAGGTGGGACGCGTCAGCACCAAGGGCCCAGAGCACCGGGACTCCAGCCGCTGGCAGCTGGGTGCGGGGCTTCCGGGAGCACCGGAGCGAGGCCGGGGCAGCCGGCGGCGGCACAGGGACGCAGGCTCCGGGGACAGAACCCGCCACCGCCCGAAGCCCGACCCGCGCCGTCTGGGCACGGTGGCCAGCGTGTGGGACGCAGTGGATGCGGCGTCTGCTGCTGCCGACTCTGGCGCTCACGCTCGCAGCCCCTGCGCTCAGCGCCCTGCAGTCCAGGAGCTGTCTCCGGGCCGCGCCCCGTACACTGGATCTGGGTCCGACAGCCCGGAGGGCAGACGAGGGAAGAGCAGCCGCCAGCCAGCCCCAGCCCCAGGTCTGCGCTCAGGGGCTGAGGCTGGTGACAGCGAGGACACCGCGTCCGCCGTCCCCGGGGAAGGCTGGCCCTGGGCCTGGAGGGAGGTCCCGGGCTCCTTGGAGGGGCCGTCCTGGGGCCGCCTGCTCTCGTCCCAAGGGCCGGGGGTCACGGGTGCTTGCCCGGCGGGCATAGCCCAGGCTAACGGCTCCAGAGAGGATCGCCTGTCGCTCGGCCAAGGGCCCGCCGGCGCAGAGAAGCCAGGGGCCGGCCACGTCGTCGCAGAAGGTAGGGCGTCGGGGCAAGGCCAAGGCGGGCTGGGCGGTCGCGGCGCCTCTGGGGCGGGAGGCAGCCGCACCCAGCCCCTGCCCAGTGCTGCCACGCCTCCGCCTCGCGGCCCTAAGGCTCGCCAGCGCCAGGGCCTCCAGCCTGCAACCGCGACCCCCTCTCCTAACTCTTTGCTGCTAGGAGTTAACCAGGGTCCTGATGGCGAACATCTCAGAGCAGCGCCAGCCCCATTGTCAGCCCCAGTTACAGCCCCAGCCCAAGCCTTAACCTCAGCTCCATCAGCAGTCCAAACCCTAACCCTGACCCCAACCCCAGCCTCACCCCCACCCCCAACTCCAACTTCTTCTCCAGCCTCAGTCCCAGCTCCAATCTCACCTCCAGCCTCAGGCTCAACTCTATCCCCAACCCCAGCCCTAAGCCCAACACCAAGCCCAGCCCCAGCCCCAACACCAAGCCCAGCCCCAGCCCCAACACCAACACCAAGCCCAGCTCCCACCGCAGCCCCAACACCAGCCCCAGCCCCAACACCAACACCCAGCCCAGCCCCAGCCCCAACACCAAGCCCAGCCCCTACCGCAGCCCCAGCCCCAACACCAAGCCCAGCCCCCACCGCAGTCCCAGCCCCAGTCCCAGCCCCCACCGCAGCCCCAGCCCCAGCCCCAGCCCCAGCTCCCACTGCAGACCCTGCCAGTGGGCCAAGGCCTGTGTCGCAGGAGCCCAGGGTGGCTCTTTCCGGGGGCTACCAGGAGAGGCAGATCTCCACCAGCTGGGGCAGTCTCATAGCCATGGTTCTCAGAAGCCATCCCTTCCCCAGGCAAGCGAGGCCCCCAGGACGTGCCCCAAGGACAGCCCCTGGGCCCCCTGCGCCTCTCAGCGTTTCCACACCCTCTGAGGACGGCCAGCCAGCTTCTGCCTCTCAGGGGGCCGTGCTTTCATTAGGGATGGCCACAGAGGCAGGCGCAGGGGGCTTGGCTGGAAGCTTTGAGAGCAACGGGGCCCCCACCCCTGGCTCAGCCCCAGGCCCAAGGGAAGATGTAGCTGAGAAGGAAAGTCTAGACTCACTGCCCCCAGCTGCAGTGCCCAGGGCCCCCTCCCAACCTGTGGCACCGTCCCAGCAGGGCCCTGCACCATCCCCTGCCGTGAGGTGCGGGTCACAGCCAGTGCCCAGGCCTCGGAAGCGCAGCCTCTGTGAAGTAGCCCAGAGTTTTGAGCGGGAGGAAGTTGGGCAAGGGCAGCTTGCTCCCCCAGGGCAGCGTGGGGGGGAGGCGGCGGGGCAGGGGACCAGCCCCTCAGGCAGCGGGGTGCTCCTCACAGAGAGGCAGAAAGAGACCCGCAAGCTCATGGCTTTCCTGCAGAGGCCTGGGAGCTGGGGGGTGGTGGAGGGGGCCAGGAAGCCCCGCTCCTGGGCCCTGGAGCCAGCCAAGGCAGTGGCCCTGAGGCGGCAGCTGGACCTGGGCAGCTGCCTGGATGTGCTGGCCTTTGCCCAGAGGCATGGGGAAGCCGGCCTGGCCCAGGAGACCTACACCTTGATGAGCAACAACCTGCTGCATGTGCTGGGAGACCCGGACCTCTACCGGCAGCTGAGCGGGGCTGACCGTGAGCGTATCCTGGGCCTGCGGACTGGTCAGGGCCAGGCGGTGCTGGGGGTCCTTGTGCTGCCCAGCCTCTACCAGGTGAGCCGCTCGGGCTCTCGTGGCGAGGAGGCTCCTCCATCCGGACCTCCGCTCTTGCCTCCTCCTACGCACCTGCACGTGTTCAACCCCCAAGAGAACACATGGTGGCCCCTGACTCAGGTGCCAGAGGAAGCCCCGCTCCGGGGCTGCGGTCTCTGTACCATGCACAACTATCTGTTCCTGGCGGGGGGCATCCGTGGCTCTGGTGCCAAGGCTGTCTGCTCCAATGAGGTCTTCTGTTACAACCCTCTGACCAACATCTGGAGCCAGGTCCGGCCCATGCAGCAGGCCCGAGCCCAGCTCAAGCTAGTGGCCCTGGACGGGCTGCTGTATGCCATTGGAGGCGAATGCCTGTACAGTATGGAGTGCTACGACCCACGCACAGACGCCTGGACCTCGCGGGCCCCCCTCCCCGCAGGCACCTTCCCCGTGGCCCACGAGGCTGTGGCCTGTCGTGGCGACATCTACGTCACAGGAGGCCACCTCTTCTACCGCCTGCTCAGATACAGCCCCGTGAAGGACGTGTGGGACGAGTGCCCCTACAGTGCCACCCATCGGCGCTCCAGTGACATGGTGGCGCTCGGGGGCTTCCTGTACCGCTTCGACCTGCTGCGGGGCGTGGGTGCTGCCGTGATGCGCTACAACACAGTGACAGGTTCCTGGAGCCGGGCTGCCTCCCTGCCCCTGCCCGACCCCGCCCCGCTGCGCTGCGCTGTGCTGGGCAACACCATTTACTGCCTCAACCACCAGGTCACGGCCACGTTCACCGTCTCCGAGGGGACGGCCCTGTTCCAGGCCAAGGAGCTGCAGCCCTTTCCCCTGGGGAGGAAGGGGGTCCTCAGCCCGTTCGTCCTGACCCTGCCCTCTGAGGGTCCTCTGCAGACCTCCCTGTGAGCCCTGCAGGAAGCGTGGGAAGCAGCGGGATCAGACGCTCTGCTCTCGCTTCCGGGACAACCTCCCCTTCCCGCTAGACTGTCTCTGCCTTGAGGACTGTCACGCATTGTTGGAGCGAGAGTTCTTCCCCTGGAGCCCAGACCCCTTCAGCTTCCCTGCTCTGCCCCACCACGCCTCGACCGTCTCCAGCCCCGACTCCTTGCCCAGTTGCCTGCGGGTCCCTCCTCTGTGCGGGCACCTTGGTTCCCTGCGTCAGGGACGGGAGCTTCCCCAGGGACAAGGACGTGGCTCAAGGAAGGAGACGGCAGGGAGCGCATGGTACTTCCATGCCTACCTAGGGGAAGAGGGAGCAAAGAGGCGCCCAGGAAGTGGCCTTGTCTGAGAGATGCCTGTCTCTCCTCGGGCAGCCCTCCTGGCCTTTGGCACTTGGCTCCTTGAGGGCCTGGAGCCCTTGTCTGTGAAGCCGGCTTAGATTGGTGCCATCCTGCCATCGCAGCGCCTGCCCATGACTGGGCCAGACTGGGCTCGTGCCCCTCTGCGGCATCGCAGGTCTGCCCCAGCCCCTCCAGAAGCACATCCCACAGCCCTTCTACCTCTCCTCTCAGTGAGAACTGTGTTCCCCCTCGTCTGCCCTTAGGGGCTGTGTGGACTTGGAGAAGATCATCAACTTCCCTTTTCATTGTCTAAGATGAGATAATGGACTTCGGTCCTCAGGAGCTGTGGGAGGACGCAAGATCGCAGACATGGGCACCTGGTGCGGGGCCAGGACACAGAGCTGGGGATGTGACGCGTCTTCTCCCCACACCCACTCTGGAACCCGGATTTAGTTACTCCGATGGAATGCTGCTGCCTGCCCAACCTCTTGCCTCCCCTGTTTCTGTCTGAGAACTTTTTTGCTTTTGATACTCTGCTTAGCGCAGTTGGCACCAAATACATGTTTGACTCCGTGGAAGCATCTGCATTGCCAGTCATGTTTTGTTCACAAGGCTGATGCACTGCTGGGTAGGGCTCAACGCAGCACAGAAAGGGACCTGCAGCCATGCTTGAAAATAGGTTTATTGGGCAATAACACTCTGATACAACTGCACACCTGGGACGCCGGCTCTCCACCCAGGCAGCGGGGGAGGGTGGCTGTGGGGCCGGGGGTGGGGGGGTCTACTGCTTGGGCTTGGTCTCTCTGAGCATCTCTTGCCAGTTCTTCTCCATCTCCTCCTTGCAGTTGAGGAAGGCGTCTTCCAGCCGGCGCATGGACTCTGCCAGTGTGGGGTTGGTGCGCATCACCACCATGTCATAGGCCATCCAGGTCGCCTGCACTGTAACGACCAGACAGGCCCGGTCAGGCTACAGGGAGGGGCTGGAGCTCCAGGACACCCTGGAGGGTCGGGGAATCTGTGCTCGGCATTCGGGGGCCAGACCTTGCAGAGGCACGATCACTCTAAGGAAAAAAAGCTGGGAGGCCCCCTGTGGTGGGATTCATCACAATTCCTATGAAAAACTCCTGCAGTGGGCACTCGGCCTAGTGGGTAAGATGTCTCCCATCTGAGTGCCTGAGTTCAACACCTGGCTCTGGCTGCTGACTCGGTCAAGTGACTGCGTTCCTGTCCCGGATCCAGTTCTCAGCTGGCCCAGCCCCGGCCACATACAGGCATTTGAGGAGTGAACCAGCAGATGGAAGATCTCTTTCTGTCCCTACACCCCTTTAGTCTGCCTTTCAAATACGGAAATAAATCTTTTGGAAAAGGAAGACTTTATAGAGACAACACAGAAGTTACATGAGCAGAACATTAGTAGAAGCCATTCTGGTGAGGTCTCAGGTGGGAGTGAACAGATTACTGGAGACGAGAGGAAAGTAGGCCCTTGTTATACAGTGGCCAAATCCCTGGCTGTGTTGTGTCCAGTGCTTTGTGGAGGTAGAACGTGCAAGGGATGAAATGGGAGGTGGAGATTGCTTGACAGAGGTGAAAACAAGGAACAACTGAAGTGCTCAGGGCAAAGTGGGTAAGAATCTAAAATGCAGGGGAAACAGCATAGAAATGACTCCTCCAGTCCCACACGGCAGCTGAGTTTCTAGTAAGCGATCAAAACAAAACCAAATCCACTGTTTAGAGCCCCTTTACCTGAAGGCAGCATTTCCCACTGGCACTTCTTCCTGGAAGGTGTGCAATGGAGATGAGCACGGCCTTGATGCCACCCCTGCTTTGCAAGCAGGCGGCTCTTCTGTGTCTGCAGTCGTCATCTCTGAGAGCTGGCAGCACAGCACAGAAGGAAACTGAGACAGCAGTGCCTAGCCCTCTCCTCGTCTGGCCAAGGATAGATTCCAGGAAGGACTTGCGACCATCCAAACACGCTGAGTGCTACAGGCATTCCTCCCGCAGTCAGTGGACTCTACCTTGTGCGGTGTTTTGCTGAGGCAGCCCTGGTGATACCGCACTTGCTGTGTGACAGGGTACGCCACACCCTGCCCCTCAAGTGTCCACACCACTTGCATGTGAGATGACTACTGACCGTGAAAGACGCTGTGTAGGAAAGGAGCCACGTCTGCTGCCAGGGAGAAGTAGGCTGGGAGGAGCCTCATTTGAGACATCTGTAAGGGACTGAGGTTGCGGCACAGTGGGTAAAATCTTTGCTTGCATCCCAGCTGGAGTGCTTGTTCGGGTCCTGGCTGCTCCACTTCTGATCTAGCTCCTTGCTAATGTGCCTGAGAATCACCAGATGATGGTCCAAGTACTTAGGCCCCCACCACCCATGTGGGAGACCTGAATGGAGTTCCTGGCTTAGGCCTAGCCCAGGCCCAGCCATTGAGGCCATTTGGGGAATAAACCAGTGGGTGAAAGATCTCTCTTTCTCTTTCTCTCCACCCTTGCTCTCTGTTATTCTGCCTTTCAAATAAATAAATAAATAAATATACCTGGACCATCCTCCAGTGCTTTCCCAGGTCATTAGCAGGGAGCTGGATTGGAAATGGAGCAGCTGGAATTTGAACCAGCGACCATAGGGTGTGCCGGCATCACAGGCGAAGGCTTTACCCACTATGCCACACTGCCAATATATGTTTATTTCTTCATTAGGTTATAAGCAACTTGATTGCAGGATTTGGCTTAGGTGGTCATTCAAAAAGTATTCTTAGGGGCCAGCATTGTGGTCTAGCAGGTTAAGCCACTGCCGATGACACCTGCAACCCATATGAATGCCAGTTCAAGTCCTGGCTGCTCCACGTCTGATCAGTTCTCTGCTAATGCACCCAGAAAAACAGTGGAAAACAGTCTAAGCACTTGGGCCCCAGCCACCCATGTGGGAGATCCTGATGGGATTCCAGAATCCTGGCTTTGGCCTGGCCCAGCCCTGCTCATTGCAGTCATTTGGAGAATGAACCAGTGGGTAAAAGATTCTCTTCCTCTGTAACTCTGCCTTTTAAATAAATAAATGAATAAATCTTTTTTTTTAAATTTTGACAGGCAGAGTTAAACAGTGAGAGAGACAGAGAGAAAGGTCTTCCTTCCGTTGGTTCATCCCCCAAATGACTGCCAGGGCTGGCGCGCTGCACCAATCTGAAGCCAGGAGCCAGGTGCCTCCTCCTGGTCTCCCGTGTGGGTGCAGGGCCCAAGCACCTGGGCCATCCTCCACTGCCCTCCCGGGCCACAGCAGAGAGCTGGACTGGAAGAGGGGCAACTGGGACAGAATCTGGTGCCCTGACTGGGACTAGAACCTGGGGTGCTGGCACCACAGGCAGAGGATTAGCCTAGTGAGCCGTGGTGCTGGCCGAATAAATCTTTTTTTTAAAGCATTTTTAAGGGCTAGCATTACGGCACAACAGGTTCAGCTGTTGCCTGTGATGCCGACATCTCATATGAGAGCCAATTTGAGTCTCAGTTGTTCCACTTCTGATCCAGCTCCCTGCTAATGTGCCAGAGAAATCAGTGGAAGATGATCCAAGTGCTTGGGCCCTGTTACCCAAGAGGGAGACCTGAATGGAGTTCCCAGCTCCTGGATTCAGTGTGGTCCAGCCCTGGCCATTGCGGCCCTTTGGGGAGTGAACCAAAGGAAGGAAGACCTCTCAACCTCTCCCTCTCTGTAACTGCCTTTCAGATAAATAAAACAAATCTTATTTTAAAATTTTATTTTATTTATTTTTTATTTTTATTTTTTGACAGGCAGAGTGGACAGTGAGAGAGAGAGAGACAGAGAGAAAGGTCTTCCTTTGCTGTTGGTTCACCTTCCAATGGCTGCTGCGGCCGGCCCGCGCACTGCACTGATCCAAAGGCAGGAGCCAGGTGCTTATCCTGGTCTCCCATGGGGTGCAGGGCCCAAGCATCTGGGCCATCCTCCACTGCACTCCCTGGCCACAGCAGAGAGCTGGCCTGGAAGAGGGGCAACCGAGACAGAATCCGGCGCCCTGACCGGGACTAGAACCCGACTGGGACTAGAACTCGGTGTGCCGGCGCCACAGGTGGAAGATTAGCCTAGTGAGCCACAGCGCCGGCCTAAAATTTTTAAATGAATAAATAAATGGTGCTTTAAAACTCTCCAGTCTTGATATTTCTTTAAGCTCTGGGATACTCTTTTCGACAGTGTGTAGCACACTGCCACCTCTGTCTTGTTGGTACACGCCACTCAACATTTCTATAAACTGAACTCACTTTTCCCCACCTGTTTCCAGTCTTCTCTCTGTATTTTCCCAATCTCTCATCTCTCCATTTTCCAGTTGTGTCTTTTTTTTTTAAAGATTTATTTATTTGTTTTAAAGTCAGAGTTACACAGAGAGAGGAGAGGCAGAGAGAGAGAGAAAGAGAGAGAGAGAGAGAGAGAGAGAGAGAGAGAGAGAGAGAGAGAGGTCTTCCATTCACTGGTTCACTCCCCAATTGGCCGCAACGGCCAGAACTGCACCAATCCGAAGCCAGGAGCCAGGAGCTTCTTCCAGGTCTCCCATGCAGGTGTAGGGGCCCAAGGACTTGGGCCATCTTCCACTGCTTTTCTCAGCAGAGAGCTGGATTGGAAGTGGAGCAGCTGGGTCTCGAACCGGCACCCATATGGGATGCCAGCGCTTTAGGCCAGGGCATTAACCCACTGCGCCACAGTGCCAGCCCCCCCAGTTGTGCCTTTTATTCAGATAATTATATTCACATTTTAGTCTTAGCTGAGAAGTCCTTATCCCAAGTCCATATGGGATGCTGGCACTGCAGGAGGCAGCTTTACACGATACACCACAGCACCAGCCCTGGTAAGATTCCTGTTTAATGAAAGTCTGTCTTTGAAACAAATGACCTCTCCTCCATGTATCTGTCTCATTCTATCTGCACATAGAGAGACCTGGAATAGCATTCACCACTGTTAACAGCAGTTAATTCTGGGAGGCTGGATTCTGATAATTGTAAACTTTCTCTACACTTTTCTATTTTGATTGAATTCTACTTTGATTGCATTTTAAAATGAACATGCAACATTTAAGAAACCATAATGAGCCGGCGCCGTGGCTCAATAGGCTAATCCTCCGCCTTGCGGCGCCGGCACACCGGGTTCTAGTCCCGGTCGGGGCGCCGGATTCTGTCCCGGTTGCCCCTCTTCCAGGCCAGCTCTCTGCTATGGCCAGGGAGTGCAGTGGAGGATGGCCCAGGTGCTTGGGCCCTGCACCCCATGGGAGACCAGGAAAAGCACCTGGCTCCTGGCTCCTGCCATCGGATCAGCGCGGTGCGCCGGCTGCAGCGGCGGCCATTGGAGGGTGAACCAACGGCAAAGGAAGACCTTTCTCTCTCTGTCTCTCTCTCTCACTGTCCACTCTGCCTGTCAAAAATTAAAAAAAACAAAGAACGGCAGAAACCATAATGATTTATCTGATAACTATAAACATAATAATTATTTATTTGTAAATATACAGTAGCACGCTAATAAATTGCAAAATAGGGGAATGGGCATTGTGGTATAGCAATGGTTAAATGCTTGGAAAGCCTGCTTCCCATATCCCACGAATGCCTAGGATAGAGTTCCGCCTCTGCTTCCCGTCCACCCTCCTGCTGATACACGTGGGAGGCAGCAGATGATGCACTTGGGCTCCTACCACCCAAGTGGGAAATCAGGGTAGACTTCCCGGCTCCTGGCTTTGGCCTGGCCCAGTCCTGGCTGTTGCAGATTTCTAGGGAGTGAACCAGTGGATGGATCTCTCTCTCTCTCTCTCTCTCTCTTTCTCTCTTTTTGTTTTTCTGCCTTTCAAATAAATAAATAAATCTTTAAAAAATAAATTAGAAAATATTGATAACATGATTTGGGAGGAAATATGAAATGCTCAAGCTGACACAACTTTAACAAAGCAGTTACCGAAGAAGAAACTGAAAATATTATGAAAAGTTATCTATTATGGCTTAGCTATTCAAAAAACAGTTGCTTCCAAACGTTATACATATTTTCAGAGGACAGAAATCAGAACACTCTGGAGACTGAGCAGACCAAAGGACCTCTGACCAGGCTGCTTACATTCTCTAAGCTCTGGTTTCCTCATCTGTAAAACAAGGACTATAATACTGTGTCCCTGCAAGTTTGCTGTGAGGAATAAAGGGGCAAGCGTATGTAAAGTACACGGTAGAGAGACCAGTACTCGGCAAACAACAAATACAACCTGTTGCTATCATTAATAACATCAGCAGGGTACCAAACACCCAAAAACCTACTGTTTCCTGCACCCTAAAATCACTTATTTAGCAAATGCTCATACATGTAAAGACTTCTCATTTGTAATGGAAACAAACACAGAAGTATATGTGTTGAAAAATATTTAGAAAACAGTTGCAAAATTCTTTGAGACATCTTGATGAACATTTGAATAATTGCAGAGACACACCGTATTCCCGAGTGAGAACACTCAGTGTTGAAAAGGTTTCATTCTTCCTCATTAGTGGGAAGGCTCTGATGAGAGTGCAGAGGGCTGGGGGAGAGCTGAGCTTTTACAATGACGGGGACAGTACCCTGCCTGAGAAAACGTTCTACCTGAGATCTTCTCCATCTCTTCCAACAGCTTTTCCAAGTCCTTATTCAGATCTGAGAGCATTTTCAGCATGTTGTCGTAGTTTCTTTCCCCAGGGTCAGAATCAGCCATCTAGGCGTGCACAGAAAGAGGCAGATCGACATTTCAATTCCAGCTGCACTGCTGACAGCTAGCTCAGTGATTCTTCTAAAGAACTTCCTAGATGTGGACAAGGCCACCTGCTTCCTAGTGCTGTTGATGGCTTAAATGAGAGTGCCCAGGAAGGGCCCAGCGGTGTTTGGCACGTGTTAGCTGTCCCACCCCTCCCTTCTTTTCTTGCCATACTAAACAACTCAAGCATAGCTGAGCGCTGGAATGATTACAGTGAAAGACAATTTTATCTGTCGGAGGGGGAAAAATCTTCACCATGATGGTGATAGTAGAATTTACTTTTGCAAGTATGCTCTAAAAGGTTTATTTATTTGAAAGACAGAGCAAGAAACAGAAGGGGAGACAGAGAGACTTTCCATCTGCTTAAATGTCTACAACAATCAGGGCAACACCAGGAACCTAAACTGCTGTGCCACAGTGCCCACCCTGGCAACAAAGTTTTGCCTACTAAAGTAGCCCATGTGGGATGTCAGCATCGCAGGTGGTGGCTTAACCCCCTATGCCATATGTCAGCCCCTCATTTCATATCTTAAAATTAACCTTACCCTCCTCCAGGTTGTCAAAGCTTCATATCTGTTTTTATTAACAACTATCTACATATCTACTGTGGTATTTTTCATGTTCTGGTTTGTCATACGATATATATGATATTACACTGAACAGTCCTTAGATGCAGGGAATGTATCTCCATACCACACCAGCACAGCAAATCTGCAGAATAAAAGAAATGATTATAGCTGAACTTTCCAGGACGACTCTCACAGAAACTGAGTCCTGACTCCAGCAGAAATGCCTGTGTTCAAAGCTTGGCTCTTGTACATGTTAGCTATGTTACTTAGAACAACTCACTTGTCTCTTTGACAATACAGTTTTGTAATTTTTGTAAAAAAGTTTTTATTTATTTCAAAGTCAGAGTTAGAGAGAGAGAGAGAGAGAGAGAGGAATCTTTCATCCACTGGCCCACTCCCCAAATGGCTGCAATGGCCAAGGCTGGGCCAAGCAGAAGTCAGGAGCCAGGAGCTTCAGTAGGGTCTCCCACATGGGTAGCATGGACCTAAGCACTTGGGTCATCTTCTGCCAGGACTTGAACCAGTGCCCATATGGGATGCTAGCATTGCAGGTGGCAGCTTAATCTGCTGTGCCATAGCACCGGTCCCCAACAATATACTGTAATTTTTAAAAGATAATTATTGGGGGGCTGGCTCTGTGGCACAGTAGGTTAATCCTCTGCCTACAGCCCCGGTTATAGTCCTGGCTGTTCCTCTTCTGATCCAGCTCTCTGCTATGGCCTGGGAAAACAGTAGAAGATGGCCCAAGTCCTTGGGCCCCTGCACCCATGTGGGAGACCTGGAGGAAGCTCCTGGCTCCTGGCTTCGGATTGGCCCAACTCCGGCTGTCACAGCCATTTGGGGAGTGAACCAGAGGATGGAAAACCTTTTGCTCTGTCTTTAACTCTCACTGTCTGCAACTCTGTCAAATAAATACATAAAATCTTTAAGAGAGAGAGAGAGAGAATTATTGGGGTGGACGTTTGGCACAGTGGTTGAGATGCCATTTTGGAGTTCCGCATCTCATATCAGAGTACCTGGTTTCAAGTCCCTGTTCTACTCTTCTTTCTACTGTGTGCCCTGGAAGGTAGGAGGCGAAGACTCAAGTTCTTGGGTCCCTGTCTCCCATGGGGGACAAGCAGATTGAGTTCCTGACCCCTCACTTTGGCCTGGTCCAGCTCCAGCTGTTGCAGGTTTTTGGAGAGGGAACCTCTAGATGGGAAATCTCTATCTCCCTACCTTTCAAATAAATAAAAATTTTAGAAAAGAGAATTATTAATATTACCTATATCTTACAGGGTTTTTGTGAGGTTTAAGTGATTAAGTGATATGCTATTCAACTCAGTATGTGCCATAATAAGAACCTCACAAATCATACCTATTGCTCTTTGAAGCTGTGGACTGTAACTGAATCACCCAGATCTTCTCTGATCTTTATCAATTACATTAATTCATTCCATGATTTGCCTATTTAACTACAAGGCACTGGACTAGTTAAGATGGGAGGGAATAGATGAGTAAGGCTGTGGAGCTGCTGGAATGTATGACCTCAGGAGGTGAGGCCGTGAGCCAGGCGAGCACAAGGCTAGGAGGGATGTGGTTTTATGCTCCCTGAGCACGCGGATGTGTGGGGACTGCTTCCCCTTGCTGCAGAGCTACAGGCCTCCACCTGGTTCTTCCTGTGGCTCCCTGGACTCCCCCGTCGTGGCACCTGCCAGCTCCAACCAGACGAGGAGGTTCTGGGGAGCAGGGGCTGTCTTTCAGGGAACTGTTTCTGGTGTCCAGCTCAGCGTTAGGAAAATAGCAAATGTTCAACGAATGTGGACTGAATCGAGGAAGCAAGGAGTGCCTTGTCAAGTGCTGATTCTGAAAGAGAGTCCAGTCTTTCCCCTCCTGCCGGCCTCCCTGTTGAGGGCCAGGATTCTGAGGGAGGGGCCGAGAGCCCCCACTAGTAGACCAGAGGCAGATCTGAGAACCTAGGGCACAGAGCCCCACACACGGCTTTCGGGATCTGTAAATGAGCTATTTCACATTTGAAGACTCCATCCTTCCTGCTGGTTTTTTTTTTTTTTTCCCTAAGTAGGAAGAGTTTGACAGAAGTGAGTGGGGAGGTGCAAACAGGGGGCAGGGCAGGAGGCTAAGAATGGGTGACAGGGGTTGGTGGCACTGTGGCATAGTAGGTAAAGCCGCTGCCTGCAGTGCCAGCATCCCATATGGGCACCAGTTCAAGTCTTGGCTGCTCCACTTTTGATCCAGCTCTCTGCTATGGCCTGGGAAAGCAGTAGAAGATGGCCCAAGTCCTTGGGCCCCTGCACCCGCGTGGGAGACCTGGAGAAGCTCCTGGCTCCTGGCTTTAGATCGCCCCAGCTCTGGCAGTTGCAGCCATTTGGGGAGTGAACCAGCAGATCTCTCTCTCTCTGCCTCTGCCTTTCTGTTAACTGTCTTTCAAATAAATAAATATTTTTTAAAAAAAAAGATGGGGAGAATTGTCTGGAACACCTTTCTTGACTCAGTCTCATGCTCACTCCCTTTCCCTGCCAGGCCTCCTCACACATTTGCCTGCCTGTGGGTTCTACTTCCTCACCCCACCTGTCACCTGGTATTTCTCAGCCACTAACGAAAACTGCTCTTAGCACAGTCTTAGCTGGCAGGCCCAGAGCACGTTCTGTCTCCCAGCTGTCCGGAACCTTTCGGCAGCACCTGGCGGCTGGCCTTTTCTCCTGCTCAAAAGCCCCCCTTGGGGTTTTAGCCTTGTTTTCCCGAAACTCTTCCCACCTCTCTGTAGCTCCTGACCGCAGTGCCAATGAGGATCCTCTCAGCCCTTTCTCTCTATACCACACAGGCCCGATGCTGACGCCCTCTCTGCTCTCGGCCTCATGGCCTGGTACGCTGAGGACCCCTAAACATATACCCCGGTTCAGTCTTCGCTCCTAAACCCAGTTTGGCTGCCTGCTGCTGCAATTCCCCTGTGGAACGTCCCACAGCATTCAAAGCTCTACAACCGGAGCCACAGATCCTATTTCTCTTTCCCAGATCTGCTGCTCCTTCTTCATTCTGCAGTCCAGTGAACGGCACCACCACTCACCCCGTAGCCTGGGCAGAAACCAGAGGTCATTTTTAAATCCTCCCCACCTTATCTTTCTGAACTAAGGGGTCACTGAAACTCTCTAATTTGATCTGCCCATAGAATGAATATTTAATCATACATGGTCCAGAAAGCCGAGTGCTTGGGAGCTGCCAGGGTACTGAAGCCCGCACTGGGGAGCTCACTGCCTGGCCAAGCCCTGTCCTTCCCATTGTCCAAGGTTACTGCTTTCCCCGAGGTCCATCCCGCCACCCACGATTGATTCTACAGGCACTGAGTAGCTACTGTGGCTCTGCACAGTGCAGTGTATCTTTGGATCCAGACAGACAAAACCCATGTTCTCATGGAGCTGCTGTTCCAGGGGAAGACAGAGAATAAACAAGTACCAAGATTCAGAAACACCTTCAGTGCGCAGTAACTGCTACACAAAAATTAAGTCGGGCAGCATAACAGAGGACCTTCCGTGGGAAAGGGGGCACTTTAGTTTGTGAAATCGGGAGCCCACTTTCATGAAGTGACATTTGAATGATATTTGAATGGCACAAGGGCTGGCCATGAGAAGGTCAAGGTCAAGGAGTCTAGACAGAGGAAGGCACTCAAGAAAAGTGGGTGTGGCCCTGGTGTGTTTTGAGAAATAGAAAAAAAACGTAGACTGGTGCTGAGTAAAGCAGTAGATGAGATCAGTTAGGTAAGAATTTTGCTTATTCGGAGCGTGAGGGGATGCCTGGAGAGGTTGAGGAGTGCAGGGTATGACGGGATTATGTTCTGAGATGAGACGTTGGCTGCTGCTTGGAAAAGGAACTCCAGCAGACGGCTGGCAAGAGCAAGAGCAGGGCGGCCAGTTGGGGAGTGTGGCAGTGGTCTGCAGGGGACAGTGGCTTGGACTGGCAGTGATGACATAAATATGAGAAGCACAAAGGCGTGGAATATATTCTGAAAGCCGAGCCAACAGAATTTGGTAGAGGATTTGATGGGTCTGGGTTTGCAGGGGTAAGTGAGGGACAGGGATGACTTCTAATTTTGGTGGTATTATTAATCGAAATGGGGAATTTCATCTGTAGGCTAATACCCCCCACATTCCTATTGTGCCCATTCTCTCTCCTGAATTCATTTATCCAGCTGCCTACTTGGCTATGTTATGTTACAGAAGTCAGGTTCTAGAAGTCGAGTCCAGATTCCCAGAGGGCTCAGGGCCTTCCAGCCAATGCTCCCTGGTCATCACTGAGCTTCATGGAGCTAAGGTAACTCTAAACAGTCTAAGAGAGAGGAACTTGAAAACTTGTATGGGATGATATAAGTGCTTCCTAAATGAGTGAGCGACTAAAAGCCCCAGGAAGGGAGGGAAGATGGCAAGGGTTTACAAGCACATCAAAAAACAAAACAAAACAACCCAAGAATTACTGTGACTATTTGGCATTTGTATGTTTAAGAGAATTTGTTCTATTAGAGTGATAGGACAGTTTTTGCCACTGAAATTTAAAATTATAATTGGTATAATTTAAACCAAAATCTTAGCATGTTTATACAGTTTTAGGTCATTTAAAAGAACTCAAGTTCACTCTGTAACTTTGACATGGTATTTATAAGAATTATGAAGGGGGGGCTGGTGCTGTGGCATAGTGGGTTAAGCCACTGCCTGCAGTGCTGGAATCCCATACAGGCGCCAGTTCAAGACCTGACTGCTCCTCTTCTGATCCAGCTCTCCGCTAATGTGCTAGGAATGCAGCAGAAGATGGCCCAGGCACTTGGGCCCCTGCACCCACATGGGAGACCCAGATGAAGCTCCCGGCTCCTGGTTTTGGCCTGGCCCAGTCCTGGTCATTGTGGCCATTTGGGGAGTGAACCAGCAGATGGACAACCTTTCTCTCTCTGTCTCTAACTCTGCCCTTCAACTAAATAAAAGCAAAAAAAGAATAAGATTTATAAATTATACTTGAGACCTGGATTTTAAGTTTAATAAAATAAAGATTAATTTTAAAATATTTATTTTTACTTAATTTTTTAAATCATTATTTGAGAGACAGAGACAGAAACTGAGATACAAACTGTTTCCTTTTAGTTTTTTTCTCCAAATACTT